CCATATCCTCATATTCCTGACTCTCCTTCCTCTGTTGCTCCAGGTGAATAGAGACCAATTGTTGTGCCTTGGATGGCCGCTTGCAATCTTGTAAAATCCCAGGCACTATGCAGCAAACTAAGAGGTAAACAGAAGCACTAAACATGTTATTAAGCCAATTAACTGGGGTGTCCCATGAAACCATGATCCTAAACCTCCAAACTAAGGAACCAAATCCCGTGAGGTTTTTGGTTGTTCATAAGCAGACTCAGCAGCTACTCCTTTTGTTGTTGTTGTTGTGAATATATCTATCATACAACTTTTGCCAATTCAACTTTTTACAGATGTACAGCTAATTGACAGCAGTTACAATATCCATCTGTGCAACTCTACACTTACTTAATGTGATTTTTCCATCACTGTTTACCCCCACCCCCTTTCCCTCTCCTTCCCACCCTTGGTAACCATGAATAAACTTTGGTCTCTGTACATTTGCCTCTTCTTATCTTTTTATATACGTGAGGTCATACAATATTTGTCCTTTTGTGTTTGACTTATTTAGCTCAGCATACTGTCTTCAAGCTCCATTCATACTGTAGCATGTATCAGGACTTCATTTCTCCTGCTGGCTAAGTAGTATTCCATTGTATGTAGGTACCACGTTTTGTTTATCCATTCATCTGTTGATGGGCATTTAGATTGTTTCCACCATTTGGCTGTTACGAGTAGTGCTGCAGTGAACATTGGTGTACAAGTCTTTGTTTGAGTCTCTGCTTTCAAGTTTTTTGGGTATATACTTAGGAGTGGAATTGCTGGGTCATATGGTAGGTCTGGAAACCTTGGTGGCATAGTGGTTAAGAGCTACAGCTGCTAACCCAAAAGTCGGCAGTTCGAATTCATCAGACGCTCCTTGGAAACTCTGTGGGGCAGTTCTACTCTGTCCTATAGGGTCGCTATGAATCAGAATCAACTCAAAGGCAATGAACGGGTGTGTGTGTATGGTAGTTCTAGTTTTAGTTTTTTGAGGAACCACCAGTTTTCCACAATTTCTGTACTGTTTTGCATTCTCACCAGCAATGGATAAGGGTTCCAATTCCCCACATCCTCACCAATATTTGTTTTTTTGTTTGTTTTTTATCTTAGCCATCCTAAACCCGTTGCTGTCCAAGTCAATTTGGACTCGTAGTGACCCTCTATATGACAGAGTAGAAGAGTAAAACTGCCCCATTAGGTTTCCAAGGCTGCCACATCTTTCTTACACGGGGTGACTGGTGGGTTTGGACCTCTGACCTTTTGGTTAGCAGCCAGGCACATGACCGCTGTGTCACCAGGGCCCATCCTAGTGGGAGTGAAATGGTATCTTATTGTGGTTTTGATTTGCATCTCTCTAAGGGCTACTGACATTGAACATCTTTTCATGTGTTTGGTGGCCATTTGAATGTCTTCTTTGGTGAAATGTCTATTATAAAGTCCTTGCCCATTTTATGATTGGGTTATTTGTCTCTTTGATTCTTATCAGATATATCGTTTCTGAAAGTATTCTTCCAGTCAGTAGCTTCTTATCTTTCCACTGTTTTAGTAATGTCTTTTGATGAACAGAAGTTTTTAATTTTTATGAGGTCCCATTTATTTATTTTGTCTTTTGCTGTTTGTGCTTTTGTTATTATATTAGATAATCCATTGTTAAAAGCTAGGCACTAGAATGTTGCTCCTGCATTTATTTTCTTCTAAGATTTTTATGGTTTTAGTTTTTGGGTTTTTTTTTTTCTTTTTTTTTTACTCTTAGGAAGACTTCAGAATCTCCTCTTTATTTCTGAGGTTCTAAAATTTTACAATCATATTTTTCCCTCCCTCTCTCTCTTTCATTGTGCTGGTCACTCAGGTGGGCTCTTTCAATACGGAAGCTCACATCCTTCAGTTCTAGGAAATTTTCTAATATAGCTTCTTTGATAATTTCCCCCCTTTGTTTTGTTGTTGTCGTGCATGAAATGCCTGATTGTTCTAATTTTCTTTTCTGTCTAGCTAACCATCTTTTTCCTATTTCCTGTTTTTCCTCAACTTATCCTCCAGCCTTTCTATTGAATATTTTATTTCAGTAACCATATTTTTAATTTCCAAATACTTTTCTTATTTTCTGATTGTCTCCACCTCCTTTTTATAGCATCTTACACATTCATAGATGGAGTATCTTCTGTTGACTTGGAAGAAATCTATTTTTACTTTTTGCACCTTTCGTAGTTCCTGTTTTCTCTAAGTTCTGTATGTTTTAGTCTCTGTCATGTTGGAGGCTTTCCTCAAAAATCTGACGGCCTGTGAGTTTTTCATAATCTAGAGTAAAGCACAGCAGTGCTTCCTGGAAACTGTGTGTGAATAGGCAGAGCTTGTCTACTGGTGGACTTCACTACATGCATGAGTTGCATTCTAGATTTTTATTGGGGGATTCCCAGATATCAGCATGCTTCAATCTTTGCTCTCTAGCCATTCCATTTCTCCAGCAGTGTCTTCCAGTCTCCTATTAAAAAAAAAAACAAAACCCATTGCTGTCGAGTTGATTCCGACTCATAGTGACCCTGTAGGACAGAGTAGAACTGCCCCATAGGGTTTCCGAGGAGTGCCTAGTGGATTTGAACTGCTGACCCTTTTGGTTAGCAACCGTAGCTCTTAACCACTACACCACCAGGGAGGTGTAAAGTCTGACTGCTGGAGTTCTGGAATCCGGATGGAAGAAGGGTGCAGGAAACTTTCATTTAATCATTCTGTTTTTTTGTCCCAAGCCTCCTTTCTACCCTCTGTCTTAACTGGGATCCAATGTCCTGAGCCTCTCCCGTTCAGTTTCTCAAAAAAATAAGCATCCCATCTCCTCTAGGTGCAGGAGTAAGAGCCAGAGAAATGTCATTGCTCTTATGCAAACTCTCAGCCAGCCTCAACGAAGTTTGTGTTTCCATTTCTCATTTTTCCTTGTTTTGGGCCGACTTTTGAGAGGATAACGGGGCAGAAAGATTTTCCATTCAGCATTTTCAAACCAGATAACTTTATTTTATAATCAGAAAATAACAAAAACCTATTTTTATTTTGAGGGGAAATCAAGTTATACTAGTCATTAAGAAGTTTAGTAATGATTCGGTAAACCTTCATCTAAAGTACAATTTAAAAAAATAAAGTTGGTACAACAAAAAAAGAAATTTAGTATTGAAAAGCAGTTATTACTAAAGGAAGCATTAGAATCATTGAAAGATTTTATTGGAGACTTGGTTGTTTTTGAAGACAGGAAAGAAGGTGAGAGGGAGATACTGAAGCAGGACTCTGGTTAAGGTTAGAGTGTCATGAAGAACAAAGGTAGAGAGCTTAGCTCTGCTATAGAAATGAAGGAAGAAACACCACAATTTAGAGGTAGGAAGGAGGCAAGGTAAGGAAGCTCACACCCAATGGAGTAAAGTGTGTACTATTTTGGTAAATAAAAGCACCAGTCATTTTATACCTAGATGATACATTTTTTACATGATGAATAAAAAATGTTGAAATTATGCAATGTTAATAAATAATACCTGCATGTGGCTCCTTTATTATTTTATCTTGAAAAATATATTAAAGTGTAAGCTCTTGGATAATTAGTTACAAGCGTCTCCTCTAATCAATGACTCTTCTTATTCTTGAGCCTACTTTGCTACTTCTGCTTGTTTATTTTTGTTCTCTGGAATTTAGTCAATGAACAGCCAAAGCATACTGTTGAATATAATTTTGGCTGAACTAAGTAATGATGTTTCTCTCAAAATTGGATAATATTTTTCCCTAAGGCTTTTAACTATACTAGTGAGCTCACTAACTCAAAATAATCAGTGTAATCACCAGATGCTTTTTAATGTTTAGAAATGGAACACTTTGTTATATGGCAAGTCTATATCATTAGTCCATACTTTTAAACATTTAGCAGTCATATTCGCCTCTGCAGATGTTTGTTTTAAGACCTACTACTTTGAAATGGATTCAAGTTTCTGTAGACATTCACTTGACTATTGGGATTGTTAATGTTCTCCTGACATAATCAGAAACTTTTAATCAGAATGCTGAGTAAGACTGATTTTCTCAGTCACAAAATTGAAGTTTCATTTGCAAAATATTGGAGATTATAGAAACCCACCCCTTGCCCTCCCAACCGTGGGCTTAAATTTATTCTACCTAAAAATACTTAGGTAAATTCCATTACTACCAGTTATTGTTACTAGTCTTCATGAAGCTCAGTGTTTTATATTGTGAATTCTATTATTCCCAGCCAATTTCATGGCAAAGGCAATACTCTATCAGAAATTTATCTTAGATAGTACAAGAAAGTGTAGGTGTGTATGGATGTAAAATCCCAAATTTTTATCCAATCCTATGTTTTATGAAAATTGCCTAGACTGTCATGTCAGTAAGTTAACACGTTGACTGATTATTGAAATGAGTTGGCAAACCTGCATTGGTAATGAGAATTGCCTACTATTTGGTAATGATTGTTTATTTAATAAATTCTTACAGCTTTTATAACTTAACATTGTTCATATTTTCAGTCAATAGGAAAGGAAACAAGGAGAGGAGAAAATGAACTATATAGGGTAGCAATTCTTAAACACCAGCTTGTAGTTGTGACTGTCCCTTACAAAGAATTCACTGGTCTGCTGTGAGTTAACAAAAATAAATGGAGGAAAGATCAACACAGATATATTTCAAGACTAAAAATTGTTCACATTTTTTGGCTTATATTACAGCTGAGAGTGGAGGATTGGCTTTTTCTGATCCACACTGAAAATTAGCTGTGGGAAAGGAACTCAAATTCGTGATTCCATGGCACTTTGAAATTATTAGTATATGGTAAAGCAATTTAAGTGAACAAAATATCTTGAAACTGCCTTCCCCCGTATCAGATACTCTATCTTATTCATGTACTAGTAAGCTTTTTCATCTTGAGTCAAAATAGGACTTAATATATGAACTATACAATGCAGTGGATAAATTGTTAATGGCATTTTTCTTTTTTTCCGTAGATACATCCAGAAAGTGCCCAGAAGAAACTTCCTGCCAGAAAAACTGAAAAAGCAGTATTTATAACACTGGAATTTGTGGATAATTTGTTACAATGGCTGAAAATATTGAAAGTAATAGTAAAAATGTAGATGTAAGGCCCAAAACTAGTCGGAGCAGAAGTGCTGACAGAAAGGATGGTTATGTATGGAGTGGAAAGAAGTTATCTTGGTCAAAAAAAAGTGAGAGTTGTTCAGATGCTGAAACGGTGGATACTGTAGAGAAAATGGAAGTTCCTTTAAGGAGCCAAGAAAGGAAGCACAGCTGTTCATCCATTGAGTTGGACTTAGATCATTCCTGTGGGCATAGATTTTTAGGCCGATCTCTTAAACAGAAACTGCAAGACGCTGTGGGGCAGTGTTTTCCAATAAAGAACTGTAGTAGTCGGCACTCTTCAGGCCTCCCATCTAAAAGAAAAATTCACATCAGTGAACTCATGTTAGATAAGTGTCCTTTCCCACCCCGATCAGATTTAGCTTTTAGATGGCATTTTATTAAACGACACACTGTTCCTATAAATCCCAAATCAAATGAATGGGTAAGCACAGACTTGTCTCAGAGTGAATTGAGGGATGGCCAGCTAAAACGAAGAAACATGGAAGAAGATGTAAACTGTTTCTCACATACCAATGTTCAGCCATGTGTCATAACTACCAATAATGCTTCGTGTAGAGGTGGTTCTATGACTGGCTCTGTAATAAACCTGGTTTCCAATAACAGTATAGAAGATAGTGATATGGATTCAGATGATGAAATTATAACACTTTGCACAAGTTCCAGAAAAAGAAACAAACCCAAATGGGAACTGGATGATGAAATCCTACAGTTGGAAACACCTCCTAAGTACCACACCCAGATTGATTATGTCCACTGTCTTGTACCAGACCTTCTTCAAATCAATAACAATCCATGTTACTGGGGAGTTATGGATAAATATGCAGCTGAAGCGCTACTGGAAGGAAAACCAGAGGGAACCTTTTTACTTCGAGACTCAGCACAGGAAGACTACTTATTCTCTGTTAGTTTTAGACGCTATAGTCGTTCTCTTCATGCTAGAATTGAACAGTGGAATCACAACTTTAGCTTTGATGCACATGATCCTTGTGTCTTCCATTCTCCTGACATTACTGGGCTCCTAGAACATTATAAAGACCCGAGTGCCTGTATGTTCTTTGAACCACTTTTATCCACTCCTTTAATTCGGACTTTCCCCTTTTCCTTGCAGCATATATGCAGAACAGTTATTTGTAACTGTACAACTTATGATGGCATTGATGCCCTTCCAGTTCCTTCTTCTATGAAATTATATCTGAAGGAATATCACTATAAATCAAAAGTTAGAGTACTCAGGATTGATGCACCAGAACAACAATACTAGGAAAAGGGTAGGAACGTCTAAATGATTATATATACATGTTTTCATTTAAAGCTTATGGTTCTTGTTCTGCCACTTTGAATTTTTCTACAAGGGCAGTTGGAGTCCAAAATAAACCTCTGCCCAAAGTCTTACTTCCAAATCATTTTATGTTTCTTGCAATGCACTTATTGTTTGAGGTTACACACTAGGGTTAATGGATATTTTTGACCGGGTGTTTGGTTTTTGTTTTTACCATAGATTGTATACTTAATTTTTTTTTTCTTAATTCTAATTTTTATATGATACAGGCATATTTGAAATTTGATAGGCAGTGCAAACACAGATGAATATTTTGTTTTTATACTTTCTTTAAAAAAAAAAAAAACCTATGTCCTTCCTACATGTAAAATGTTTTGTTACTATATACCATTGGTATTCTTATACATGAAATAAGAGTTTCCCCATCCCATATGCAATGAATTGTTTTAAAATTCTTCGGTAAAGCTGAATGTGTTGTAATTCACAACTCATATTAAACATAACTGACTTTTATAATTTTCTAATAGGAACGTTAAAGGTAGCAAGATGGTTTAAAGTCAAAGTTAATGATGTGTCTTCATTTTAAATATTAACTGGAAAACAGGATTTCTAAATTTGGTTGATGTAGTCAGTGAGAATCAAATGAGAACATGACATTTTGGAGATGCATTTATTCTTCTACAATGTGGCAGGGCTGTTTGTTATTTTTGAATAAGTCTTTCTCTCAACCTAGAAGAGTTAAGCCACCTTCAAAACAAATATTGTTTCTTTCTCACTGGAAGCTTTAAAAATAATAATAACAGTATTAGTAACTTAGTAGTTACTTAAGTACTTAAGAAACTGTTGGAATTTTCTGTATTTACTTATGAACTATTGCATCTACTTAGCTGTTTTACGGAAATTCTGAATGTGTTACTTTGAGGAGATTCTAGTTTATAAACAGCCATAAATTTCCACTGGTAACCAAAGAGTACCTAAGTGATTTTTAATTATTTTAAATTAAACTTGAGTAAAGATTCAAGAATTAAATGTAAACTCACTATTCAGGAAGCTTAAAATTATTTTTATCTTCAAGTTTCAGATAAAGATTCCTATCTTCAGAATTACATCTTTAACATGGCCTCAAAAAAAAGGAAAACCTTTTGACAGCTACATGGTTTATGTCATACCAAACAGTACTGGGTAACAAGGGCAATATTTTTAATTTACTATCCCAAGAACAGAAAGCATTTTTAGAAACATCAGCAGCCCAATATAACCAATAAAGATAGATGAAGTGATATCCTATCTTTTTTATGATTTATTTTATTTTTGTTGTTGAGACTATACACAGCAGAACATAGACCAACAATTTCTACATGTACAGTTCAGTGACATCGATTACATTCTTTGAGTTGTACAACCATTCTCACCCTCTGAATTGTTCCTTCCCTGTTAACATGAACTCACTGCCCCTTAAATTTCCTATCTAATCTCTCATGACATTTTTTAAAGAATCGATGAGTAATAAATAAATTTCTTATTCATACTCCTAGGCAGTTACCCAACCTTTCTTTTGGTGATCTGTCTGCCCATCAGTAAAATCGGCATTTTTAATATAGTAATTGATTTCTTGATGTTGGTTTGGCTATTTTAGGAAGCTGCTTCTACCTGGATTGAAAGAAATTAGATTTAGAAATTTCCAAGTTAGAGTGATGTTTCGTCATTATCATTACTTTATTTTATGTTGAAGTAGCATTTCCTTATTTTACAGTTCTGCTGTTAACATAAAGATGGCATTTTTCAGTAATAGCTTTAAAATAAAATGTTAGCAATTATTACAAAAGTAAACCAGGAAAATCTCTGTTACCATATTTTCTAGCATTTTTTTCTCAGTGATCTCTAGATTGTCTTGATCTCGATGAGAGGTAGCTATTAAAATGGCATCTCTTAGCAGAGATGAGGCCCAGAATATCATAACACCAATGTCAAGTTAAATAACATCTCTTCTAAAGATGGTATTTATGTTTTACAAAGGTAGAAAAGTCTGATACTACCTCATCTTTATTGTGGCATTTTGTAGATCACTGAGAAGCTTATTAACCAATATAACACTTCCTAAATATCCACCTTTGGTGAAAGAAAAGTGAAATTAGTAGTATGGTTTAAGACTATCTGTGGTTATAGTTTTTTATCAGAATTTGATAAGACTTTCTGTTTCTGTGAAACAATTATTTTAGATACTTTTCTTTTAAAATAACTTTTTATTAGTACAGAAAAACCTAAGGGAAGACTAGCTAATGAATATTCTGTTAAAGGGTAGTTTTATAAAGAAAAAAGAAATATAATTATGTTGTCTTTTATAATGGTAAAAATTAGTGTTTATATGAAAGTCAAGATCTAAGTAGGTTTTCATATAATTCAAACTAGTTGCTGTGATATATTTTCTCTGATTTTCTTATTTTTTTCAACTTTAAGATATTAACAGCTGTTAACATTTTCAAAATACTGCCATATATGTAGCTTTGAAGTAGATCTAATAAATGAGAGGGAAAGAGACTCATTTACTCTGAAATGGTTTGTATTTTTCCTTTGTTACAATGAAAAGAAATGTGGAAAGTAGAAATATAAAGACTTGAGAAGGGAATCATTTACCATGAAGGGAAAAGAAAAGAGTAATAATAAATTAATTTTTAAAAAATCTACAGAATTGGAATTTAGAAAGGCTAACCCCTTTCTCTGACTAAGTTGGACATTGTGGATATTTGAAAAGTGTAAATTCCAGCATTGAGAGAGCATTCAGCATGGTGGAAATGTGTAGAGCTTATTGCCAAGAGAGGATGAAGCTAAAAGAAACAAGATAAAATATTAAAATTCAGAATTAAGGCATTACCTCTGGGAAAAGCCTTGACAGTGAAAGCGAACTACTTCATCGCTAATAGCTAGTCTGGACTAGACACTTAACTGTGCTTTGGGAATAATCCTGCACTAATCAGGAAATAAACTTGAATTTTCTATTCTCTGAAGCTTTTTAGGACATATCCCTTCCCTTCTCCCACCCCCATTTTTTAAGCTGTAACATCTTGATGCATACTACAATTTCTTAAATATGCTGAATAGATTTTTTTAGGTTCCTTGAACATTTTTGTATGAAGAGTTATATGTGATCTTTCTATAACCTGCTATTAAATAATTCATAGAGGGAATGCTTTAATTTAAAGGAAGACCTAATAGGAAGAAGATTAAAGGAAGCTTTTAGTCAGCCTGTGGCTAGATTTATTGATTTGGTGATCAAACCTGTGTTCTTTCCTGAATTTCAGCTAATGGGCAACTGTGGTCAAAGAATGGCTTTCAGTTAAAGTTTTGATTTATTATAAATAATACAAAGGATGTCTTAGTAATTAGAAATCCTTTAAAAAGTAGAACAAAAGTGGCAAATAGGACCCATATCGTTGTATAAATTCTTTTTATAGGAAGAACACATAAACCATTATCATTTATTCATGAGCCAAAGCCATTAAGAAGACAAACCAAGTTATCAGCTTCCTGTCTCTCTTTGGTTCAGTTTATAGATCCACATAATAGAGGACTTCCTTCCTATGAAACAAAAACCTTGAGCTCTAACTCCCTTAAACACCTACTTTTCTTAAAAATGTATTTTTGTCACTTTTAGCTATAATCAGAGTCCATTAAATGGCTTACATATTGATTTTGGTAGAGCAGGTTTCACAGGAAAGTAGACTTAATTATAAAATTTATTCCCTGGAAATAACACAAGGAAAACAAAATTTTACATGTAAATTAGACTGTGTATGTAATCTTAGGTAATTTAATGCCAAAATGAATTAAAGGTTTTAAGTCAAATTATTTCTACTTTGGGAAAAAAAATGTTTACAATTTTTGTTTTAACAATTAGTTTTACGCTCATTTTTATTTCTAAAGAAAGAAAGCACAAAGGATTTTTTTGTTTTAACGGCCTACTAGAAATACTGAGCAATGCTACAAGGGTCTGTCTATACTATGCTAATATGTTAAGATACTGGTCACAAAATTGAGGTAACTTAAGTAGAAATGTAGACTAAAGGATATAACCCAATGGAAAGGGATTTAGAGCACATGAATCCTATTCCCAGTAAGGCCAAAGTCTATCTTTGATTTACTTTCTAATTTTAAATAGATTACTGACTCCTAAATCTTTCTTTGCCTTCATTTTCTAACACTAAAATATAGATTATAATACTTGTCACTTGGCTTCCTGAAGGTTAATTCTTCGGTTAAGAGGTGACCCTTGGAGCATACTTGAAAATAATTGTTCTACAGCTGTTAAGTAGTAATGTGATGATAGGTTTTCGAGGTATCCCCTTAGTGGACCTTGCAGAACCACATTGACTTCTTTTAGTCTCTGATAGTCTTTCTTGGCTTGGTTTGACAATAGAGATAACAGTACAAATTTGAATTTATGGTTTAGACTCTGCAGTTAGGTGAACAATTGCAGTTCCCCCTTACCCTTCATAAGGTCTATGTAAAATTGATGTTTGCCTAACTTATTTTAAAAGTTGATTACATTTGTGGGAAATACAGATAATCACTTTTGCCATGGGTATAATCAAATCTAAGCTTTCAGACTTGAAAGCCATGGTGTAAAACTCGAGGCAGTTTTTCAAATTATGCTGACTTTGCTAAAATTGGATAAACTATAAGCCAGGTATGAGCTTGATATATACTTTAATGTACAGAATTTAAGCAGCAACTTCACAAAGCTATTAGTACTCTTGTCAGTCAGGCTTGTATGACTTTTTCTCCACTTCTTACACTAAAAAAGTAGACTATTTCCATTTTTATCTCTGATCCTGGAGTTGAACATTTCTTCTTTGGATATGAGTTCAAGTAAAATGATTTGCATACATTTTCTTCTTAATTAAAAGTTCATATATAAAATCCAAAGCCTTTGTATTGTGATTTTAAAACATTGTATATCCTTACTTTATGTATCCAATTTAGATTCTGGAAAAAGAAATTGAAAAATCTTTTTTTTTAGTTTCTAGTGTGTCAGTTTGGGTCTTCCGGGAAGCAGATGCCAAGATGTGATTAGATGTGTAAAAGCTTATTGGGGCAAACACCTATAAGATGGAAGAAGCAGGAGAAGGTGGGGAAGTCTTCAGACCACGTTGCAATCTGACACCTGTGAAAAAAGGATTGGGTGGGATGGGCTTCAGACTGCAGTGCCCTTCTGAAAACATCAGCCAGGCAGGGAGTTAGTTCTCAAATAAAGGTTGCCTGTAGAGGAGCACATGTGGGACAGGAATGGCCTGGCTTTAGAACCCTCCCCATGCTTGGTTACTGGCTGGGAGAAGGCAGAGAAAAGCTAGTCACTGACTACTCAGGGCCAGGTCAGTGAGTGAAGCACTTGACTTGGGTACATTTTTTTTTTTTTTTAAACTTAGCAATGAAAATAAATAGTATTTTAATGCTGTAAAAAAAGTCAGAATCAATGCAGAAAAATCCATGATGAACAAAATAACAAAAATTTATAAAGATAAATCATTTGCCCTCAAGTCAATTCTGACTCATGGTGACCCCGGGTGTTTCAGAGTAGAACTGCGCTCCCTAGAGTTTTCAGTAGTGATCTTTTAGAAGTAGACCTATCCAGTCCTTTCTTCCAGACACCTGGGTGGATTCAGCCAACCTTTCAATTAGCAGCTGCATACTTAACCCTTCACACCAGCCAGGGACTTACATAAAGACCATCACCCATTGCCATCGAGTTGATTCCAACTCAGCAACCCTGAAAGGAAACCCTGCCCCATAGGGTTTCCAAGGAGTGCCTGGTGGGTTCGAACTGCCGACCTTTTGGTTAGCAGCCAAACTCTTAACCACTAGGGTTTCCGTACCTAAAGACAGGACCTGATAATTCCTGTTGCCTCAGGCTTCAGTATGGTTCTGCAAGGCACTGCTCATTCACTACCTCCTATGAGGGGAGGGGAGGTTGTCCCACATTAGTAATAAAACAATAGACCATAGAGCCCTATGTTTTATCTAAAATTACGTCTTCTCCAGGTTTAGGTGTCTGACGTTCCTCTATTGTTCATTTTTCAGTACAAGAAGTATGTGTTCTGTGGAACACACTCAGAGATAAGTCTTTTAAGAAGTTCATAGTCAATATCCAGTCACTGACCCACAACTGGCTTACACAAAACAGTGAAGTGATGGAAGTGTACTGAATACTTTTAACATATTTAACAAGAGACTTACTTAATACAGGCATACCTCAGAGATATTACTGGTTCTGTTCCAAATCATCACAATAAAGCAAATATCACAATAAAGCGAAGCACAAATTTTTTGGTTCACCAGTACATATAAAAGTTACGTTATTACACCATACTGTAGTCTATTAGGAGCTCTGGTGGCACAGTGGTTAAGAGATATGGTGAGGTATGGCTGCTAACCAAAAGGTCAGCAGTTAGAATCCACCAGTCGCCCCTTGGAAACCCTATGGGGCAGTTCTACTCTATACTATAGGGTCGCTATGAGTTGGAATAAACTTAATGGCAACAGGTTTGGTTTTGGTAGTCTATTAACTGTGCGATAGCATTATGTCTAAAAAAAAAAAAGTACATACCTAAAAGTATATTGCTAAAAAATGCTAACCATCATCTGAGCCTTCGGTGAGTCGTAATCTTTTTTGCTGGTGGATGGTCTTAGCTAGATATTGATGGATGCTGACTGATCAGGGTGGTGGTTGCTGAAGGCTGGGGTGGCTGTGGTACTTTCTTAAAATAAGATAACAATGAAGTTTGCCCCTTCGATTAACTCTTCTTTCATGAAAGAGTTCTCTGTAGCATGTGGTGCTGTTTGATAGTTTACCTATAGAAAAACTTCCTTCAAAATTGGAGTCTCAAACCCTGCTGTTGCTTTATCAACTAAGTTTAGGTAATATTCTAAATCCCTTGTTGTTATTTCAACAATGTTCACAGCATCTTCACCAGGCATAGATTCCATCTCAAGAAACCACTTTCTTTGCTCATCTAGGAGAAGCAACTCCTCATGCATTAAAGTCTTATATGGGATTACAGCAATTCAGTCACATCTTCAGGCTCCACTTCTAACTGTAGTTCTCTTGCTATTTCCACTACATTTGCTCTTACTTCCTCCACTGAAGTCTTGTACCCCTCAAAGTCATCCGTGAAGGTTGGTATCAACTTCTTCCAAACTCCTGTTAATGCTGGTATTTTGACCTCCTCCCATGAATCATCAATGTTCTTAATGGCATTTAGAATGGTGAATCCTTTACAGGAGGTTTTCAATTGACTTAGCCCAGATCCATCAGAGCAATCACTATCTACGGCAGCTGTAGCCTTCAACATGTATTCCTTAAATAATAAGACTTGAAAGTAAAAATTACTCCTTGATCCATGGGCCGCAAAATGGGTGTTGTGTTAGCAGGCTTGAAAACAACATTGATCTCCTTGTATATCTTCATCAGAGCTCTTGGGTAACGAGGTGCGTTGTTAATGAGCAATAATATTTTGAAAGGAATCTTTTGTTGGGAGCAGTATCTACAGTGGGCCTAAAATATTCAGTAAACCATGTTGTAAACAGATGTGCTGTCATCCAGGCTTTGTTGTTCCATTTATACACACAGGCAGAGTATATTTAGCATAATTCTTAAGGGCCCTAGGATTTTCAGAATGGTAAATGAGCATTGGCTTCAACTTAAAGTCACCAGCTTCATTAGCCCCTAACAAGACAGTCAGCCTGTCCCTGAAGCTTTGAAGCTAGGCATTGACTTCTCTTAAGCTATGAAAGTCCTAGATGGCATCTTCTTCCAGTATAAGGCTGTTTCATCTATACTGAGAATCTATTGTTTAGTGTAGCCACCTTCATCAATTAGCTAGATCTTCTGGATAACTTGCTTCAGCTTCTAGATCAGCACTTGCTGCTTCACCTTGCACTTTTACGTTATGGAGATGGCTTCTTTCCTTAAACCTCATGAACCAACCTCTACTAGCTTCAGACTTTTCTTCTGCAGCTTCTTCACCGCTCTCAGTCTTCACAGAATTGAAGAGAGTTAGGACCTTGCTCTGGATTAGGCTTTGGTTTAAGGGAATGTCTTGGTTATCTAGTGCTGGTATAACAGAAATACCACAAGTAGATGGATTTAACAAAGAGAAACTCATTCACAGTCTAGGAGACTAGAAGTCCAAATTCAGGGTGCTAGCTCCAGGGGAAGTCTTTTTCTCTCTGTCAGCTCTGGGGGAAGGTCCTTGTTATTGATCTTCCCCAGTCCAGGAGATTCTCAGTGCAAGGAGCCTCGGTCCGAAGGATGCGCTATTCTCCTACCTCTTGTCTCTTAGTGGTATGAGGTCCCCCTGTCTCTCTGCTCACTTCTCGCTTTTATATCTCAAAAGAGATTGGCTTAAATTGTAGATTAATCTTGTAGATTGAGTTTACATAACTGCCGCTGATCCCATCTCATTAACATCATAGAGATAGGATTTACAACACACAGGAAAATCACATCAGATGACAAAACTGTGGACAGTCATACAATACTGGAAATCATGACCTAGCCAAGTTGACACATATTTTTGGGGGACACGATTTAATCCATGACAGAATGTTGTGGCTGGTTTGATCTTCTGTCTAGACCACTACAACTTTCTCTGTATCAGCAAGCAATAAGGCTGTTTCCCTTTCTTATCATTCGTGTGTTCACTGGAGTAGCACTTCTAATTTCCTTCAAGAACTTTTCCTTTGCATTCACAGCTTGGCTAACTGTTTGGTGCGAAAGGCCTACCTTTTGGCCTAGCTCAGCTTTTGACATGCCTTCCTCACTAACCTTAATAGTTTCTTTTAATTTAAAGTGAGAAATGTGTGACTCTTCCTTTTACTTGAACGCTTAAAGGCCATTGTCGGGTTATTAACTGGCCTAATTTGAATATTGTTGTGTCTCAGGGAATAGGTAGACCCTAGGAGAGGGAAAGAGATGGGGGAATGGCCAGTGGAGCAGTCAGAACACACATAACATTTATCGATGAAGTTGGCAGTCTTATACGGGCACGGTTTGTGGTGCCCCAAAACAATTACAATAGTAGTATCAAAGATCACTGATCACAGATTAGCATAACAGATATAATAATAATAAAAGTTTGAAATATTGTGAGAATTATCAAAATGTGACACACAGACAGGAAGTGAGTACATGCTGTTGGAAAAATGGCGCCAATAGACTTGCTCCATGCAGGGTTGCCACAAACCTTCAGTTTGTGAAAAACGCAGTATCTGTGAAGTACAGTAAAGCAAAGTGCAATAAAACAAAGCATGCCTGTATCTAGTTTTTTTATTTTTTAAAAATAGACTTTATTGAGTTGTAATTTACATACAATAAAAATGTATTCATTTTAAGTGTATCATTCAATGAGTTTTTGTGTGTGTGTGTGTGTGTTAGATGAAAGTCTACAGAGCAAATTAGATTTCCATTCCACAGTTTGTACTTAAAGTGTTTCATGGTCTCGGTTTCATTCCCCACAATGTGTCAAGCACTCTCCCCATTTCTGCCCTAGGTTTTCTGTTTTCTTTTGTCCTAATTTTCTACCCTTTCCTGCCTTCTCATCTTTGCTTGTGGGTAAATATTGCCCTTTTGATCACCTATAATTGATTATTGTAAGTAACACGTTCCTCTCTGGTGTTATTATTTATTTTATGGGCTTGGCTTGTCTCTTGTTTGGCCAGCAAGTGGTCTCTGGAAATAGCTTCAGTTCCAGGTTAGAAGGGTATTTTAGGGCCATAGTCTCTCGGCTAAATATTTAGCTCTTGGCTATTTTTTGCACAGCATATAATTATGACACCTTCATTCTAGCCTGCAGCTTCCTGATGGCTAGGGCCATGTGTTAATCACCTTTTGGGTCTGATAGAGCAGATGTTTAATAAATGTTTATTCAACAGTGAGCATGTGGGGAAAAGCACTGATCAGGAAAAATCTGAAAAGACGACTGTTCGTTTAGTTAATATCAATTTATCAACCCGTTTGCAAACGTCTTCCCTTTCCTGCATTGTTCCTTTAGCTCTCCTCAATTTTGACATGAGGTTGTCTGCCTCCCCCAGAATCGGGCCGCTAGTTGGCTGCATCCACACCTAGCCAGCTTCGAGGCCTGGCTGTAAAACCCGCTGAGCGTAGGGAATCCACAATCTCCCCTCAAACCACTCAAGGCAACAAATTAGCAATTTCCGCCCGGCTGCCCGGAGCTTCACCAGCCACAAGCGTTTCCTCCCAGTCCTCAACTCCGCAAAACCAGGGACCTTTCCACCCGCCCGCCAAGACAACAGCCGCTCCGGGGCGGGCGCTAGAGGTAGCCGCAGTGCCGCCGGGGGCCTGCGGGGGCGCGCGCGGCCGGGCACGAAGCGAGGAGGAGCGCGGGCGGGGACGAAGCGCGAAGCGTGAGGCGCTTCCTGTTCCGGCGCCAGGAGGAGTCGCGCGGGGCTAGGGCTGGTGCTGTAGCTGCTGCCGTCGTCAGTAAGGCTGCGTTCGGTTGTTTAGCGCCTTGTTTTCTCGGACCCATCGTCACCTCTAGACCTTGCTGCGGGGTCGGATCCTGCCGGGTGAGGCTGCTTCGGCGCTAGTGATGGTGGTAGAGCGTGGCGGGGGAGTTCAGGTTGAGGGGCTGGCGGGCGCGTCCAAGCGGGAGGCGGGCGCAGTATCGAAGGTGCCTTGAGCCACCGCTAGTGCTTGGGCTGTGGTTCCTCTACCGAAGATTCTCTCGGCCACCCCGCTGCGGGCTGGCCCCCGGATCTCCCCCAAAGGAGAAAGCATCCAAGGCCGGTGACGTCACGCCCGGCGGGTTTGTCCGCGCTCGACGTCAGGCCTGGCTCGGGGGACGAGGGAGGAGGCGGGGAGCGGGCCTGGCCCCTCCCCCACCCCCACACCCGGCGGGCGCGACCCGCTCCTTGGCCGGTTCGCTCCGGTCGATCCCGCATTGTCTTTGTTCTTTTGGTCTCAAGGGACTACCGGCCTCGAGCCCCTTGGACCTGACCCTCTCAGTTCATTAATTTCTTATAGAAGGGGAGAGAAATGCTCGCATCGAGTCTTAAAGGAATCTCTGCCGCTTATTTAAGATTTCGCAGTTGTGACAACATTGTGGTTATTACTAATTAGAGGAGTTGATAACAAATACGTTAGATGAATCCCCATGACGGAGATTACCAAAGATGGTGACTGTAAGACTCTTTAGGATTTGGGAGCCCGTATGGTGCATCCTAGTTTATAACTAGCCTAGCCGTTTACCTCTTTACCTTGGAAACCAAGAGCAGTGTTTTTAATAATGCTAATGTAGTGTCAGACTAGCTTCACTTGATTGAAAATTATTTTTTTGTAGCATTACTATTAGAGAAATACACACTTGTACACGTGGTGGTTATAAAGTCCGGTTTTGAAAATGAACCCTCATTACAGGTAGCTTTCAGAAGTAATTTGTTCAGTAGTGTTCTTTGGTCAAGAAGAATAGGTATTTTTCTTGCTACTGGGTCTCCGAACCCCCTAGTCAGATATAGTTTGCCTCAGAAACTTTTGAATTGAGTTACTTATACTGAATTGTTCTTTTCCTCTCTCCAGGAGGAATGGTAATTAATATCTGTCCCCATTCCCTTAACCCAAATCCTTGGGGCCAATATGTCTGGAATTCAGAAATCTTCAGATTTTAGAAAGACAATATGGTACATAGATGTATGCTAACACTCCCACCAGGGCTAAGGGACAACAACCTGATAATCCAGCATTAATATTTGTGCAGCAATAGGTTTGACTATTCACTCTAAGTGGGGATCAGCTAATAGAAAGCTCATTAAAAAGGCCAGGAAAGTAAGAAAAGACCAAAATGGATGTCAGAAGAGACTCTGAAACTTGCTCTTGAGTAACTTGCTCCAGAGTAGCTAAAGCAAATGGAAGAAATGATGAAGTAAAAGAGCTAAACAGAAGATTTCAAATGGAGACTTGATAAGACAAAGTATTAAAATGAAACGGGCTACGTCCTGGAGTTAGAAAACAAAAAGGGAAGAACACATATGGCATTTCTCAAGCTGAAAGAACTGAAGAAAAAGCCTCATGTTGCACTATTGAAGGGTTCTATGGGCAAAATATCGAACAATGCAGGAAGCATCAAAAGATGATGGAAGGAATACACAAGAGTCACTGTACCAAAAAGAGTCGATGTTCATCCATTTCAGAAGGCAGCATATGATCAGGAATCAATGGTATTGAAGGAAGAGGTCTAAACTGCATGGAAGGCATTGGTGAAAAACAAGGCTCCGGGAATTGACGGAATACCAGTTGAGATTTTCCAACAAACAGATGCAGCCCTGGAGATGCTCATTTACCTATGTCAGCAAATTTGGAGGACAGCTGCCTGGCCAAATGACTGGAAGACCAGATCCATTTGTGCCCATTCCAAAGAAAAGTGATGCAACAGAATGTGGAAATTATCGAACAGTATCATAAATATCACAGATAAGTAAAATTTTGTGAAGATAATTAAAGAACGGTTGCAGCAGTACATCGACGGGGAACTGCCAGATTCAGAAGAGGACATGGAATGAGGGATATCACTGCTGATACTAGATGGATGGTGGTTGAAAGCAGAGAATACCAGAAAGATGTTTATCCGTGTTTTATTGACGATGCAGAGGCATTCAACTGCATGCATCATAACAAATTATGGATAACGTTGCAAAGAATGGGAATTCCAGAATACTTAATTGTGCTTATGAGGAACCTGTACGTAGACTGAGGCAGTTGTTTGAACAGGGCAAGGGGGTACTGAATGGTTTAAAATCAGGAAAGGTGTGCATCAGAGTTGTATCCTTTCACCATAGTTATTCAGTCTGTATCCTGAGCAGATAATCTGAGAAGCTGGATTATATGAAGAAGAACAGGGCATCAGGATTGTAGGAAGACTCCTTAACAACCTGTGAGTAACAGCCTTGTTCGCTGAAAGTGAAGAGGACTTGAAGCGCTTACTGATGAAGACGAAAGACTACAGCCTTCAGTATGGAGCCCTGGTGACACACTGGTTAAGAGTTTGGCTGCTAACCAAAAGATCGGCAGTTTGAATCCACCAGCTGCTCCTTGGAAACACTACGGGCAGCTCTGTTCTGTCTTCTAGGGTCACTATGAGTCGGAATCGACTGGACAGCAATGCTTTTTTTTGTTTGTTTTTTTCAGTATGGGTTACACTTCAACATAAATCATTCCTTACATCTGGACCGACAAGCAACATCATGATAAATGGAGAAAGTATTGAAGTTGTCAAGGATTTCATTTTACTTGGATCGACGTCCATGGAAGCAGCAGTCAAGAAATCAAACAACATACTGCATTGGGCAAATCTGCTGCAAAAGATCTCTTTAAAATGTTAAAAGCAGAGATGTCACTTGGAGGAATAAAGTGAGCCTGACCCAAGCCATAGTATTTTCAGTCACCTCATATGCATGTGAAAATTAGACAGTGAATAAG